TAATAATTTTTTGTTCCATATTTCACCCATAAGAATATTAAATGGCTAAAATGCTGAATTTCTTCTTCTCAAATCTCCCACTCCAAGGCCGCCAGGGGCTGTTACTTTTTTTCAGTTGACTAGTTGGCTACCTCCTTTAGATTAGCTCTTTGGAGGTTGGATGATGGTCTACTTTTATTTGATAATTTGGAGTGAGAGGCTCTCGACTTTCTGCTCAGAGTTGTCGACAAAATAATCTGGGCTGCTTTCTCTTCTTTGTCTTCTTCTGATCGATAAATTGGAGAATTAGGCCCTTGTCTTTTTGTTCTTATTATACTTTTTCTTGCCTCTGAATTGAGTTTCTTTGATTTTGGTTGCTGGAGAATCTTCAGCCAGGGTAGTGATATACATTTCCTCTATGAGGATCTCTGTTGCTTTTTTCATATTCTGTTAGCCTAAGTAGCTCAGTGCTGTTTATAGCCCAATTTTCCTCCCTTTGATTATCCTCTAGGATTTCAGGTTGATAATAATCTTCCTCCCAACTTGACGCACTTGAGGTTGACCGCGGTTTGCACCATCCAATCGTCTTCTCCACTGTTCCATAGTGGAACGAATGGGCTCGGTTGTGTACCTGTGGACTTTTCTGCAAAGGATACTAACTAGTATTTTCTTTGGCCCCTCTAGTTCCGAAAAACATAGAGTTTTCTTTTAGGGCTCTTTTGTTGGGTATTGAGCCCTAGAAACCAAGCACAAGTAACTGGATTCAGCTTCAATTACCACTTGCATAACATAAACCAAGCACAAGCATTTGTTCGAGTATTTAATGAAGCCTCCACACACTTCACCTAACTTATTGTAAGTATCCACTTGCAATGAATGTTCTAAATTTCAACCAACCACTGTAACATGGAACCACATTCACCTTCTAAGTAGAAAAGGGCCCCAGATTTCAAATTGATTCGTATAAGGGCCTGTATTAGTCCATCCTCTGTTCATGTTGAGAAGTCTTGCAAAATCTGAGCCAAAGCATTTGAGAAGGGCCTGATCGTGGTGAATGGGTGTAACGGCCCAGATCCACCACTAGCAGGTATTGTCTTTTTTGAGTTTTCCCATTCGGACTTCCTCTCAAGACTTTAAAATGCGTCTGCTAGGGGAAGGTTTCCACACCCTTATAAATGGTGGTTTGTTCTCCTCCCCAACCAATGTGGGACATCACAATGGGCCTATTATGAAGTGGATTGGTAGGAACGTTTGAAGAGCTTCTTGGATCCTCTCTCGTTCATCGTTAAAGCATTACATCTTCTCGTAATAACCACAGTTTTGTTCCAATTACTTTTTTGGACTTCTTAGTTGATTGGAATTTGTGGCAAGTTCTCTGCCCTTTTCTATTTGTGGTAGTTGAGTCTTTTCTGTTGGTCTTTGTTGGGTTGTGGCTCATTGAAGTCTGTAGTTGATTCAATAAGATTCTTCTTCAAGGCCTCCGCAAATGTCTTGTGTGATACTTTTTTGTTTTTCCATAGCCTTCTGAAAAGAACAGTTTATTATCAGTCTGACAAACCTTTTCCATCCTTCTCCACTCTCACCTTGAGGGACTATGAAGTTCGAGTTTTTCCCCATATTCAAGACATTAGAAATCTCAATAAACTCTCTCTTGTTTGTATTTGCTGCACCCATTGGAACCCATTCTCACAGTCAGCTCTTCTGAAACATTTAAGGGACAAGGGAGTGAAGGTGTGGTCGTCTATATTATCAGCCAGCCATTGTCTCAAATATTGGTTCGAGGGAAACCCTGTACTTTTCTTCTCTGTAATCTTGTTTTTCCTTCCTTTTTGCTCCTTGTCGAAGTCCGTAGTGAAGTTCTTTCGTTCTATATTGCATTTTCTGTCTTGGAGGTCATCGTGAAGTCAAGAGGTGATGGTTGGATAAAGGTGGTCGTGGGCGTGGTCGGAGGGATAAGAGTGTCGATCATTCAGGTATAGGTAGGATGGGTGTTGCTTTGGGGGTTGGGTTGGTAGAGGAGAGAATGGAGAAAATTTCATACTCTTTGGATTTTTTTAATCTTTTGGTGACCACAATGTTGTTCTACCGCGTCAATTAGAAAGTATCACAACAAGCAAAATACTTTGAGCAATTAATTCTAGCATTTTGAATTATACAAGTGTTGGATGAACCAATGCTTAAGGGATCATGTGGGTGCTGTTCTCGACCAGTTTTCTCTTTTTAAGGACAAAAATTCAGTGAGAAATAGATATCATCCTTTGCTTATTTTTAGAAAGGATGCACCGTGCTGGGGGACTTCGAGTGATTTTCCAATCGAACCAGATCACCCCTCTCTTCCCTTCCCCTCTTAAACTAAAGGGGAACATATCGAGAGAGAATTAGATTTGGTTAGGGGTTGGTAAACAAGGTACGGAATGTCTTGTCAAATATTCAATACGATTCCACAAGATCTAGTTTCGTTCAAGTAACGAATTCTAGCCAATTGAAAGGATCTTCTGATCAATCCAGAGATCATTTCGATTCCATTAGTGATGAGGATTCAAAATATCACACATTGATCAATCAAAGAGAGATTCAACAACTAAATGAAAGATCGATTCTTTGGGATCCTTCCTTTCTTCAAATGGAACGAACAGAGATAGAATCAGACCAATTCTCGACCAGTTTTCTTAATTTTTGTTGTTGGGATAGCTGTTTTGAATATTAATCTTGCTAATGAAGTGTATTTAAAATGTTTTCATGGATTTTAGCTCAATAGTAGTGACTGATGATGCTATGATTGAACTAAATCAGTTTTTCCTTTGCTTCTTAGGAATCTGTTCGTCTTACTCCATAGGTTTACAGAGCCACTTTGTGTGATTACACCTTTTTTCATTCATTCAAATATGCTTTTGGACTCATAATTCTGTCCCCTTTTTATGCCTCAAACGTTCGAATTGTAATGTCTCAGAGACGACCGTCAAGCAAATCGAAGATGCTTTCAAAGAGTTCACTACAAGGGAGGATATTGCAATAGTGATGATCAGTCAATATGTAAGTTGTTCTCTGATTACACCTTGCTATGCCTCTCCTGCCATTAGAGATATTGTTTATGGGTTCTGTTTTCTCTGTGTCATCAAACTGTGATACCATTTTTTCTTTTGAGTTTTAGGTTGCAAACATGATTAGGTTTCTGGTAGATAGCTACAACAAACCAATTCCTGCAATATTGGAGATTCCATCCAAGGATCATCCATATGACCCTGCTCATGATTCGATTCTTTCGCGTGTAAAGAACCTGTTTTCTACCGAATCGGTGGCGTCTGGGAGGCGTTAAAAAGGTATTGTAACTTATGTCCCAACTCTTTTCGAAGTCATCCACCGTTATGCTGCTCTTGGTGTTCCCTGAATTTTAATTTGTAATGATTCTATTCATATCGATCACTCGAATAAAACTCGAAAAATACATGGCAACAGAGGAGCTTGTGGATGTCTAAGCACCTTAGAATGCCATTGTTTTCTTGTACCTGAATTACATTTGATACAGTAACTTGAGGCATTGCATCTGCATGCATCTAATGTGTTCTTGGTGCATATTTGGCAAAAACCAATTGCCTCCATGATTTTCTGGTGTGTAAATCGGACCAAATTGGTTATTGGGCCAAATTGGTTATTGGGCAGTCAAAATTGTAACAGGTGTATCGGAAGCTATTCCAGTAACAGGGTCGCCTTTGGTAGAGTTATTACGTGGAAGTGCCAGTGTGGGACAATCTTCCTTGACTCGTTTTTATAGTTTACACACTTTTTTATTACCTCTTCTTACTGCCGTATTTACGTCAATGCACTTCTCAATGATACATAAGCAAGGCATTTCTCGTCCTTTACACCTCGCGGTATAAAATGTGCTGTTTTATTGAATTTGGGGAACTCCTAGCAGGACATAGTTGCTCAGAGGTGTGGTATGATTTGATGATCTTTAGTACCGCCACTTTCGTTTGTTTCTTGTCGTAAAAGAAATATTTAAGAATTTTGTACGTATCGTGAAATAAAATAATATATCATTTAGTGATACATCAAATGTGGGATAGAATGATTATGTATGGTTGTGGTACTATCACTAACCACTCATCTAGGATTTAATATTTTGTGTTACTTTAACAACTACATGTAGTAGGGTCGATCAGTTGTTTTGTGACAATAGTTGAGATGTGGGTGTGTAAGCATGAGCACTCGAGCTACAACACACGTAAGCTTTGGAACATGTATTCATCATTAGCTCACTAAACATAATTTGGAGGTAACTCTAGAAAGCCTAGGAAAGGCTTCGAACAAGGACACTTATGTGGGTGTGCAAGCATGAGCACTCGCGCTACAACACAAGTAAGCTTCAGAACATGTATTCATTATTAGCTCACTATATATAATTTGGAGGCAACAAACTCTAGAAAGCCGCCTAGGAAACGCTTTGAATAAGAACACTCATGTGGGTGTGCAAGCATGAGCACTCGAGCTACAACACACGTAAGCTTCAAAACATGTATTCATCTTTAGCTCACTAAACATAATTTGGAGGCAACAACTCTATAAAGCCTTGAAGTACCAACCTTCATAGGATTGAATCCAAGGTGATATGAATGAAGTACTAACCTTCAGAGGATCAAATCCAAGGTGATATGAATCAAGACATCAATCATGCAATATAAACTTTGAAAAAGACATAAAAAAAATGTTATTCAATGATCACAAAATGTTGCAATTCATATCACGTTAAAGAAGAACGAAGCTTCATTTATTTTTAGTTACAAATTTTGGACAAATCGAGTTTTGATGTTTTATGGTGTTTCTTCAGTACTTTAAGACTTATTTAAATAGCTGGCTATATAAAGTCATGACCAAAACTGTAAAAAACCCACATTGGGGAAAGGGAAACGAAGCATTCTTCTTAAGGGGTGGAAACCTCTCCCTACTGAACGCATTTTAAAAACCTTGAGGAAAAGCTCGAAAAGGAAAGCCCAAAGAGTGCAATATCTGCTAGCGATAGGTTCGGGTCGTTACAAAGACCACGGAGTTCAAGGTTCAACTTCATACCAATGAAAGCTTACTTAGATCATGTTGTTCTATATGTTCTCTTCCTCAAATGCTTTCCAAAGCAAAAGTAAACTAGGCAAAAGTAAGTTAAATGCAACAATGACCATAATGTTTGTGTAGCATAGTGTCTATTGCATCTTCAAAATCTACTCTTTTCTTGACCTTTTCTTGCATTACTTGAATAACCCATTCACTCAAATCAACGGATTGGCGGAAAGATGCGAGAATATGGAGATAGAACGGATTCCTTCACGTACTTTTTCGAGTTAGTCGTGTCGGGAACCCAATGGATCTCGCTCATATTCGGTGTCTCTACAAACACCATGTTAAACTCTCCCACCTTCTCTATCTTCCCTCTCTTCCCTGCCCTCAGTACCAGATTACTGTTTCGGCTGTAGGAAAATATCCCATTCGTCAAGCGTAGGATGTCGCTCGGCTCAACGACATCGCACTCTTCTCCCCATAGCTGGAAATGAACTGCTGCTGTTTCGTCCGCCACAAGTGATTGGCATGTCTTGTTTTGTCCTTCCATTGTTGTCATGCCTTTCTCTAATACTATGAATTGTGTGTTCACATTGTTCTGGGCTGCTGGCACCAAGTCCTTGAGAGATATCATCATTTATCTGCTTTTTAAAACTGAACTTAGTGATGCAATTAAGTTAATGATTATGTAAAATACAGTCTAAAACTAAAGAAAACATACATCAAATGTTCATAACTTCACTCAGGCATTTTCACAAACAGGTAGCGGGCGCAGCGCCATTTTTCCAGACAAAATGGACAACAACAATCAAGTTCCTTCCAATTTTAATCCAAATATTCAACCATATCAACATCCTTCTCGATTAAATGGAGATTTCAGTCGAAATCGAACATTTCGAATCACTACTTTTCATGAAAGGTTTGCTATAAAAACATCATAACAAACAAACTGAACTCATTTTTTCAGTATAATTTCTACGTACAATTAAGAAATTCAAAGAATCAAGTCACTTACCTTACGAACAATCTTGCTGAAGTTGAAGTTGTTGGATCGTTCTTAAATTTTCTCGATCCATCTGAAACGAGTGAGAATAAATTCAAAGGTTAGGGCCGAAAAGGAATCGTGATTAAAGGGAGGAGAAGGTTTGGGGTCTTGTAAGTTGGCGTTTGAAAAGGGTTAGAATTTCCAGACATTTATCTTCTTCTTCTTCTTCTATCTTGACTTTTTAAAACACGACCTCGTGTTATGGATACATTTTTTTTAAACCTCGTAAGTTAAAAACGTCATTTTGTTTATAAAGTCCAAACGGAATAAGAAAGACAATGTCTCACTCAACTTCGAGTGAAAGGAAAGAACCAATGTAACAGCTCAAATCCCCGCCACTATCTGATATTGTCCTCTTTAGCGTTTCCCCTTTGAGATTCCTGATATTGTCCTCTTTAGCGTTTCCCCTTTGAGATTCCTCAAAGTTTTTTAAAACGCGTATGTTAGAGAGAGGTTTCCACACCCTTGTAAAAAATGTTTCATTCTCCTCCCTAATCGAGGTGAGATGTTACAATCCACTCCCCTGTGGGGTCCAACGGGTGCTCGTTTCCTTCTCCAATCGATGTGGGACCTTCCAACCCACCCCTTTTGGGGTCAGCGTCATAGTTGGTATACCACCTCGTGTCCACTCCCCTTCATGACTCTCCACCCCTTTTGGAGCCAGCGTTATTGAGGCTCTCTTGTCCTTGTTTCCCTTTCGAGCTTCCTTAACACATATGCTAGAGATAGGTTTCCACACCCTTATAAAAGAATGATTCATTCTCCTCTCCAATCAATGTGAGATCTCACAATCCACTCCCTTTGAGGCCCAGTGTTTTCACTGGCGCTCGTTTCCTTCTCCAATCGACGTGGGACCTTCCAATCCACCCCTTTTGGGGCCAGCGTCATTGTTGGCACACCACCTCAAGTCCACCCCCTTCAAAACTCTTCCTCCTCGCTAGCACATCGACCAATGTCTGGCTCTGATAACATTTATAACCGTCTAATCTCACCACTAGCAGATATTGTCCTTTTGGACTTTTCCTTTTGAACTTTCCCTCAAGATTTTTAAAACGTGTCTAATAGGGAAAGGTTTCCACACCCTTTTAAAATATGTTTCGTTCTCCTCTCCAATCGAATCGATACGAGGTCTCACGACCAAACAAGGCCGAAGAAAAGTGAGACAAAATGGAACAGGGCTCCTCAAGAACCAACCAATACTTCATTCATAATACAAAAACATTCACTTCCATGTTTACAAACAAATTGCTTACATGAATTGAGCAGAATAACGCTCCCCTGTATTGATATTAAAAAAGAATGGAGAAGTAAGAATTCTAAGCCTCAGAATGAAACTACTTTATTACCCTCCAGTATAGAAAGAGCAAAACAACAAAAACTCAGTCCTTGTGTGAGTAGTTATCAACGGGAAGGAACTTGGCATATCGCTCGGCCTTCGCTCCGGATTTGTGTTCATAATATTCGACGACTGCAGCGCCCGCAAGAGCAGCTAAGGTCAAAGCCTGTGCGTGTAACCTGAGAGTGATTTTGAAGAACTTAACACATGGAAAAGAAATGCCAATGTAAAAAACTTCTATACATCTGCCCCTAAACAAAGAGCTCCGATTTAACCAACTTTACGAATGAGCCCGAGAAAAAACATAGAATGAAAAATATAAAACAAATAACTTAGATGCATTTTAGGACCCATCTCTGGCAATGAATCAACAATCCGAAGTGCATTTCTTGCATATTCTTGACAAACTAGCGTTTGTATACAGATGTAAGAGGATCTATTTGGGAAGTAAGCAGCCCTTGGACATCTCTTCGTCTACAAAGAATTCTCGATGCGAAAACACATAGACAAAAGGCTGATCTTTCAATAGGAAAAAAAGTGGATACAATGAATTTGGCTTATGTCAAGTTTTTCATTTTGATCCCTAATATTCGATCCTTCATGAACTTTTATCGACTTTCAATTTTTTCGAGTCTATGTTCGAAATCTCAATGGTAATTGTCAAACTTCCACTAAATCCCATGTTTAATCCTGATCATAAAGGAGGAAATATGGATGTAATAGACATCGATATGAAATAACTAGAAGAGCTACATTGAAATCGTGTTGCATTTTCAATAATTAGACATGACCTTTTGAAGTTCAATGAAAATGTTCAAGGTGTTCTCAATAACTTTTTATGAGCACCAAGCCTCAGCTTTCATCCAAAAAGGCACCGAACAACCCGAACAGCCCGAACAGCACAAGGGTCAACGGGACAAGGCATCCTTGAGTGGTTACATAAAGGCCCTCTAATATAAGCTGATGGTATGAGAAGTTACAATTTACAAAAAAAAGCTTGTGTTGGGCACTCCAATTAGAGGTCATGGACAGTACAAGGCCACAAAAGCACCTAAGGCAGAAGCTAAGCGTGTTCGGTGTTCATCAGTAAAACAAAGAACACAATCATAGGACAAGGAATAAGGAGGGAAAAAAGGATTGAGAGCTTCCAGAAAGTAGTTTCCAATTATAATTTTCAAAATTCTAGAACAAAAATTTAAGAACAAACACGATCAATCAGCTGTTTGTTAAAGAGAAACCAATTGTTCTACTTCAAACAAAATTAACGAGACAACAATCTTAGTTTTCTCTGAATAGCTACAGAACATCCTCAACATTTCAAGACTCGTCAAGATCCCAAAAGAGGGATGATTTTTACAGACTTTCAACCAAAAAGGATCATTCACTAATTCATTCCAGAATCAAAATTCCATAAATAATCAGCACTAGGAGAACTCCAAATCCAGGATTAACGAAAAACATAAAACATAAAAAATTAGAAACTCACCTAGCATGGATGATCTTCACGCTGGTCTTCATATTAGGTTGAGACCAATTATACGCAATAGAACCCGCGATCCCGCTAAGCCACAGAGATCCTTCACCCCAAACACAACAACAAATCAATTATAACTCGAAAACGAAACTTCCAGTAACGAGAAGATTAAACATAATCAATCCATCGGAAATCAGGAAAATGAAATAGAGGAGAGGATTGATGAGTTGAACTTACCGACGGTGCGAAGCTTGTGTTCGGAAACCCACTCCCTGAGAGATTCGAGTTTTCCCTTGGATTCAGCCATGGGGAGCGGGAACAGAGATCGATCGGCGAAGGAAAAGGAAGAGAAGAGATGAAGAACGGAGGTTTCGGTATTGGGGGAATGGCTAATTGTTTATGAGAGAAAGGAAGGAAAGTCGAATTTGGCAAACGCCTGAAAATCGGTGGGCGGCGGACGGTGGCGAAGAAAGCCACGTAGGCTCTAAGAATAAACATACGAAATTATGTAATTTTTTAAACTAATTAAATTATTTATTTTTAATTATTTAGGAGATAATTTTCAAAATTGAATTACAAATTTTAATTAAATAATTAATTAATTATATATATATATATATATATATATATATATATATATATATATATATAATTTTATGAATTAACATTTTTTATTAAAATAAAATTTTTAATAAATGTTATGATTAACCCAAACCAACTCAAATAATAATAATATATATATATATATATATATATATATATATATATATTTATTTGTTTATTGATTATAAACCCGATGATTCCTTAAATTAACGGATGTTTAAAATGGACAATATCATACCATAGTGAAGAGTCGTGTTCATCTAACACAAGCAGTTGTGTTCATCTAACTCATGAAATATTTGAACTCTGTTAGATGGTTACAAATTTTTGGGTGGTTGATTGAAATCTAATGTTTTCGAATTTGTGGTGTTTCAGACAACTTTCGGGCACTTATGCCCGATCATGAAACTACCTTTTGAACGTCCGATGGCGCGTTACTCCGACTTGAGCTATGTAACAACGAGATCCCCCTTGATCTTTGCCGGATGTGCTTGACGGTCCCCCATAATTCGCTTACTTGGGGACTGATTACTCCAGCTATTCCACGAGTCTCCGCTAGTTGAACCCTGTCCAGTAGACTCTGTTAGTCAAAAGAATATTTGTGTTTTCTTTTTAGCCTATAACTAAATTTCTGTGTAATTCTACGTACTAGTTCGTTGGAAGATCTATCTCGTGTCTGGTACTGCACGGTTCCACTCTACAAGAACTCCGAATCATTCTCTTCATCAGAAATGATCCGCTTGCCCCGAAATGACCTAGCCTGAGAGTTGGGGAAGGTAAGAATGAGAGTTGACCCAGTACCCGATTGGAGGTACATATGACCCAGTCTCCTGTGACCATAACTGTAACGACCCGTCTGTTGGGGAAGGTTTCCACTACCCTTATAAATGGTGTTTTGTTCTCATCCCCAACCAATGGCCCAACCAATGGCGACCATTTATTAAGACCCAGTACCTAATCACGAGGTACATATGACCCAGTACTACCCTTATAAATGGTGTTTTGTTCTCATCCCCAACCAATGGCGACCATTTATTAAGACCCAGTACCTAATCACGAGGTACATATGACCCAGTCTCCTGTGACCATAACTGTAACGACCCAAGCCCACCACTAGCACATATTGTCCTTCTTTGTGCTTTCTCTTTCGGATTTCCTCTCAAACCTTTAAAACACAAGCCCATAACACTACACTAAACGTTAAGGCGAGACGTGAACCAGAAAAGGGATCCGGGGAATCGAACCCTGATCAGTACCGTGGGAGGGTACTATGATACCACTACACTAGATGCACCCGTCATATTTAAAAAAAAAAAATAATAAAAAATAACTTTAAAGTAATTAACAAAAAGAAAATTTTCAAAAAATGCACATCTAGGGAATCAAACCCGAGACAATATCGTGAGAGGGTACTACGATACCACTACTCTAGATGCACCCGTTATATTTTTTAAAAAAAATATTAAAAAATAATTTTTAAGTTTATTTGGTAATAAATCTTAATAATTATACTCAAATAAATTATTTCAAGAAAATTATATAAACTTAAAATCAAATTATATTAAATAAGATATACTTATTAGTGATATAATAGTGAAATTTTAATTTAATTTTTATTCATTAATAAATATATTATAAACAGTATTAAATTTAAGTTTTTTAGTTTTTTTTAACTAACTAATAATTAGTATTCTCACTATCAGCGGGACATAGTTTTAAATTTAAAGGCACAAGTACGAGGAAT